GTTACAATTCACTGTTGAAAAATAAAATGTGCTTTGTGATGTGATAACTCTATGGTTAATGTTTGGTTAAGTTTAGGTACAAAATGACTTTTTGTCATTATGGTTACAATGATAAACATGTGGCTAATGCTTTTGAACCATCGTGGTCACGCTTTCAAAAAAAGAAACATGGACTGCTAGTTTGAAGCAGGAAACAAACAGCAGTCTCCTGTGTTTTAATTCTGATATTTTCTTGATCCATCCACCATAATAATTATGATATGATCCATCATAATTCCTACGGCCGCTACAGTGCTTTGTCACTTGAACATAAATGTAGGCCTATGTCATTTTGGGGCACTTGCTTAAACAACTGATGCTGTCATTGTTCTTTGGAGGACTCCAACTACCAACCGTCTCTAAAACCTACCAATTAACACTTTATATTGCTTAAAATAGAGCTGACAGTTTTGCAATAGAAGGCATCACCGTGCAGCAGTTCAGCTTTCTGAGCTCAGCCTTGCAAACTAACATCTACTTGAGGTAGGAAAGGATGTTGCTGTAATGATTCACTTTCTTTACAATTACTAGGTGAATGGCAGTGACAAGCAATACTCTCATATTTTTTGCCATGACTAATTTAGTACAAAGATCTTCTCACTTGTATCTTTCATACGAGTCTCAGTGCAGCAGAGGCACTCCCACACTGAAACACGCCTGGGCTTTATTGAGCACAGTTGGCACGGTCTGAGCCAATGATGTCATCCTGGTGAATTGGCCAGCAATATGGGGATCAGCAAGTTTCTGAAATGAGAAACGGTGGGGATAGACATCATGTGTAGTAGTAGATATTGGAGTCATGATAGTGGAAAGGTAAAGTTGCAGCAGTTATTTTTTCTTCTTCCTTTATAGAAGGGACAATGGTGAGCTTTGGAGACTGTGTGCCCACAAAAGCTGGTCTCAAATTACACGTTGCACGTCTCAAAATATTGAGGCATGGTTGGAGGTTTTCATGTGGCGGTGCTGAAGAGTTTTGATAAGTGGTTTTAGAGTCTGTCAGGGAAATCTGTTGTTTTCAGCCTGGGCTTGTAACATAGTATGACGAAGATTTTTAACCATTAATTTGAAGCAATAACAGACTCATTTTTAGAGGCGTGTGTTCTGAGGTGGGGATATCATTATCACTTCTATAACTATAGGTCCGGGGCTTTGGTCATGGTGTTCACCCGTCTGTCCCATGAGTACAGGCCAGGGCCCCCGTCACCTCCACCTGCTCCAGTCTCCGGAGGGGACCTGTGCTAAATTTAGACAAACAAGGAAGCTCATCTTGGACACGAAGTCAGATAGAGATCCACCAGATTGTTGGAAAACTGGAGCCCTGATCTTTGAGCCAAGCATAAAGGGAGGGTATTTTCTGCAAAAATATTCCACTTCAAGAGCTTAAGTGTACAATTTTTACGTTTAAAAATATTTTTGTAGCATTATAGGTTAAATATATAGCCAGCAGCATTGCTCTTGGGATGGCAGTATCAGTCGGTCAGAACACCACATATGGTCCAGGCTGAAATATCTCAGCAACTATTTGCTTGATTGCCATGTGATTTTGTACAGACATTCATGATTCCCAGAGGTTAAAAATTACAAACTTTATTGGTCCCCTGACTTTTCCTCCAGTGCCACCAGCGGGTCAAACTTTTCACTCTTCCTGTGAAATATCTCAACATCAAATTGATGGATTACCATAAACCTTTGTACCCAGAAGACATATATCTTACTGACTTTGGTGTTCTCCTGACTTTTGCTCTAGTGCCACAATGAGGTTGACAAGTAAACAACAACGTTTAGATGGACTGACAAAAAAATTTGCTTTAGAACATCATGTTAAAGTGTAGAAACTTTGGTTGGGTAACATTCCCATCCACCTCAGCTGCACATTGTGTTAATTTCTAATTAACTAATGCAGGGTGATGTTAACATTAAGCTCATTTAGCTCGCCTGACAGAGCTGCTAGCATGGGTGCAGACTCTTAGTCTTGTTATAACATGGTCCAGTTCCCATAGACAAATGAGGTGACTGAGAAGATGTGTTGTCTCTCAATCAAAATTAGTGGTGTTTGCACACACTGTAATTGCAGTGCAGACATCAACTGGGGTTGGCAGTCCTTCTTGAGACACTAAAAATGCAGAAAACAGGTGGACATAATTTAACTCTATCCAATGCAGACTGACCTATTTTCATAAATATTGTAGAGCAAGTCAACATTCCTCCTATATTTGTATATGTAAGAAATAAAAGGAAATATTTTAAGCCAAGTAGGACTCAGGAGGTCAAACAGGATTGTAAAGCTTCAGTTGACGACCAGGTGTGGTGGACATTTTCAACAATTTGCAGTGTTGAGGGGGCTGGGGACAGAGTCAAACCAGAGTGAGATGTGGACCCCAGCCAAAAGCTCACACCCTCTCTCTGTTTCTCTGCACTTCTCAAAAGACTTGTAGTGCACGCACACACACACACACACACACACACACATGCAGAAGTGCATGTGCACTCCTGCCTTGTGTGCACCTGTTGTCCTACATGCAGCTCTCTCTTGAAGAGGACGTAGAGAACTAAGAATTTCCACCAGTGCGTGGGAGGTGTGTGTGTGTGGGTGTGTGTTTCAGTGTGTGTGAGTAGGTGACAGATAAAGAGGGAGATAGTAAAAGAGGGAGGAGAGCCACAGTGGTGTTTTATTAAGGGATGACTTAAATGAAGTCCCCCCTTTTAAACACACCCTCTTTAACTCACTCCTCTGCCCTTCAGATGCTCTTTGTCCACCCTTCAAATACTCCCATCCACCCAGTGGGCCCAAATGTTGCCCTAACATTGACATGTTTTGGGTCATTTCATCTGATGGGATCTCCTGGGAGGAATTAGCATGTGCAAAAGAAAAGTCCACAGTTTTAAAAGCTCAGTGTTTCCAATTTGCCGCCACATGCTTCAAATTAGCCACGTATTTACTAAGGTCAGGCACTGGGCACAGAGCCCGTGGGGGAGTCTGTGTAAGGGTTTGAGAGAGAGTGAGAGAGAGAGAGAGAGAGAGAGAGAGAGAGAGAGAGAGAGAGACAGAGAGAGAGAAGCAAGTTAGATTAATTGCAATCCACTGCTGCTGCACAACATTTTAGTTCAGCCTATCTAAATGAATGCACAGAAGCATAACAATTTCAACAAATTGTCGTCTGAGCAATGTAGAAGTTCAACATAAATCCAGATAATATAGTCATTTTAATATTAAGACACCAGAGGCACACATAACGCCTGCTCATAGAAGACACACATGGCTCTGTTCACACTCAGACGGAAGGTCCTGTTTTACTGCCAGTTGTTTTATTTTTACATTGTGAGAGGAATGTTGTACATGCACAGAAAATTAACACAGGGGCTTATAATACTATTTTGGGGCGTTTTAAAGTAGGCTCAATAGGATCACATTTAGAGTCTGATTTAAAGTAACATTTTTCCTGGCATGACAGACTATGAGAAGCTGATGCCTGGCTTCTCTCAGAAACCTGAAGTTTTACAAGCTTATTATTAGGCATTTCTAGTTCTTGCTTTATTTGTTCTGAGGCCAAATTACATCCTTATCGCATCTGTTGTGTGCTTGTCTTGTTTATATCACGACTCAGTGAGGCTCCTTGAGTGGTATTTTATGTGTGTGTGTGTGTATCTGTGTCTGTGTGAGCACAAGCGCGTAAACATGCACAAGCTTTAGCGTGTGTGTGTGTGCAGCCAAGCCTAAAAGCATTTAAGCGGGAATGGGAGAGGGTCTGGAATCCTGGGATGACATCATTATCCATGATGTCATTTCTGCAGGGTGACTTTGGCACATGTGATCGTTTGGGTGAGGTCACGCTTTCACTTCTAACTCACTGTAATTGACAATGAAACAGCAGGTCACCGTTGCAGATTGAGCAATGTCAAACTAAGCAGCCAATTAGGTAGTCAAAACTAACGGTTTTAAAATTTGTTACCAATTTAATAATCTAATTTGCCTTCAAAAACACAGGATTTAGTTTTTGTAAAAGTCAATGAGGTACTAATTAAACAGGGTCTGGTTTTGATACTTACATGTCATTATTGATTCTATCTTTAATATTGTATTAATGTGAGAATTTATGATGTGCTCTGTGCATTCTTTTGTGCTCCATATAGCCTACTGCTTGTGCACAGTAAATTTTTCTCCATATCTGCACTAATTTTCACATTAAATGGTTCTGAACTAAGATCATTTGTCACCTATATATGTGAAGTAGAAGACAAAATCGCTCACTCAACCAAAGACAAAAGAAGAGAGAGCTGTTGGACTGCAACCAAAGTTAGAGTGCAAAAAGCACAAAATGGTGCATACACCCAAATTAATACTTTTATTCAGTTTTTAATGTCACAATTGTGCATTAGGAAAAAAATGCTCAGCCGTTTCGGCTATGGCTTCTACAGTGCACAATAGTGCTTCATTTTCATGGTAGAGTCCTTTTCACAAGGAATGTTACTAATAGATATGGAAAGGAATTGGAATTCAGTGCATCTTCCTGTTACTTTGAAAATTTATAAAAGCAGACCAATATGTTACCACAATATATTTCTCATTACAAAAATGACTCATTATTGCTTTTTATATGGAATTAAAAAAATATCAATCCTTCGAGTCATGAATGAAAATGGCTTTGTGTATTGGCTGACCCAACACTTTGACTTCCTGATAAAGAAGCCAAGTCAAGCAAGAATTTTTCCTAAGAAAACTTACGTTACCTTGGTTTCCAACAACATTAATTTTTTTTAACATGTAATTTGCTTGACAACTTTTTTCCGTGAGATTTGTTCCAAATCCCCAAATCACAATTTTTTCTCAATAGGCTTTACAGTCTGTAACGTAAAAGACAGTCTCTATGCTTAGACCCTCAATTCCGATAAGAAAAACTTGGTCCACCTTAAATATCAGACCACCTCAAACCTGATAAGGCACCAATAAGAACCAGGTGTAGCTCATTTACGCTCCCTTATACATATAATATATACCAGGGTCATTGTTGGGCTGGAAAAGATACTGTTCCTCATCCCTTGGGCACATGGTAAGAGTTAATTTGAGGTATTCGTTTGAGCTACTTTTTAAAAATGTGCTGGAGATACCCTCTATGTTTCTTTGACCGACTTGTTTTAATGTTGTGGGCCAGGTCTTCCCTTTCACTGCCAGCACATTCCTAGGGTTGTTTGTGACTGATGACAAAGTTGGATATATATTACGTTATGGTTTCTGCTTCAGTCATCTGTTTCTTTATGCAGAGATGAATGACTGTTCCTGCCCTGCGTTGAGCCGGTTGAACACACTTGGTAAGATAACCTGGTGGCTCTTGTCAGAGTGATTTCACAGTTTTTCCTCTGTTCTGTTCTTGCACTGCTGACTGCTCTTTTGCCTAGGCCAAGGTTGGGTTTAAAGAGGCTTCTTCTTGGTTCTTTTTAAGATTTGGTGGTGTGTGTATACTTACAATCTGCCAAACCCTGATGTGTGTCTTCTCTCTTTGCAATAGGCCAGCGCTTAATCCAGTGGGATCTGCACAAGCTGGGGCACAGTACGGCGACTAGATCACTCCTATCATGGTGTGTGTAATATCATTCTTTGCATTGGTTTTGAGTGGGTCTTCCCCTAAATTTCCCCCTTCTGGGTGTACTGCAACCCTCACCCTGGCCAGTAGCTCCTAGTTTAGTTATACACTGTATTTTACATAGAAACCCACCAGCTGTTAACAGAGTTCTTCATTATCAATTGTAATATTTTATTCTTTACTATACTTTGAAACATTTAATAAAAGCAGTTGTAGTTGCTGCTACTCCTTCTTGTATTTTATGGGTCAAACCCTGTTCAACACAAATGGTTAAATCCCCTACTCCTGGTCACAGGAGGGTTGAAGATAGACAAATAACAAACCACACTATTAGAAACAGAAGGACAAAGTTGTTTAAATGGAGTGCAAACATATTGTATGACAAACAAGACAAACAGTTTATATTCATATTTTATTTTCTCTGCTTTGTCTTATTCAGAATGAGCAACGCATCCAACAGTAGAAGAAGCTTTGACTGCTTTATTACCAAACTAACTAGCAGCCAGGACAGCAAATACAGTAAATCTCTGGCACAAACTTTACAGAGGGATTTTGGCAATGGATTATCTGTGAGATTGTGGTGATTGCTCACACCACAAAGAGTACATATGGAAATCTTTGGTCATTCTGACCGACTGAGTTCACAAAGATACTCATCTGAGTGGTTTTGTCTGTATCTTTGCTACATGAGACATTGTCTGAATCTGATTCATGTAAAACCTGCTGACCTCTGCTTCACATGCTTTCCTTGTGTGTCCTCCTCTGGCGTGTGCCTAGGTCATTTGCATTCAGCCAATAACCATCAATTTATCATAGTATGAACACATGTGCTCTCTCACACAGGCACACATGGACGGCTTGAGGCAGACCATCCATTCTCATTAGTACCCTGTTGCAGTCGGCTGACGGTAAACTGAGTGTGTGCCAAAGTCATAAACTTACACACCCCCTCCCGCCATTACCTCATGATTATGATATCACACAAGTGTCTCATAGTGATGACATCACACCACCAGATTTGCGGTCTGGCCAAGTGTAAGTACATTACACTTGGCCAGTTCATGCCAAGACCCTTATCCCTGATAAGCCAAGGACAAAATGTAGACTGTGAGACTGGGGTCCAGTCTGGAGGGTAATTACCAATTTTACTATTGAGATGAAAGCATCTGGTTGAGGTATTGTCCTGTTTAGAGGGGTTTATTGGAAACAATTTAAGTTCTTGTTCACACTCTGAGATAATGGTGTTGGCAAGCATTGTCACTACCTATAGCATGGAAATTTGCCAAAACCAGATTAAAAGTTTAATAACATTTTGCTCTTTCTGGTCACAAATAATTAAGTCAGTGGTCTGGTATATTGTCTATCCATTCATGTCCCTATATAAATATTTGCTGACATAAACCATTTCACGGATTACTTAATGATTGGGTTTAAAATGCCAACGTGTTTATTGAACATGTGCATTTGGTCAGAAAATTCAGCACCACTCTAATGTGAGGCCTTCAGAGCACATGAAATCCTGAAGAGTCATTTTAGTTTAGTGGGAAAATGACAGTTCTGACATAAAAGCGTAGATCCATCATGGGAACAATTTCACTAAAAGACTGACTAGTTATTTTATGAAGCAGCATGGATCAATCCATCTTCTGAGGTAAGTTAAAGGCTACGTGCCGGGCCCTCAGCCATCCGGTACCTGTCACTCTGCCTCCCTCAACACGAACACCTTTGTGTTTTCCTTCCTGTCTGTCCCCTCATCCAGCATCTGCTTTTCTGTTCTAGTAATGATTCTCAGATTATGGTGAGTGAGAGGGCTAAAAAAACAAAATGAAAATGATGAAATCTGCTTATAAACACTCCAAACATCATGGTTAAATCAGTCAGCTTCCTTCATAAGAGATCCTCAAAAGCTGAGACTTTCTCTAAATACTGGAGAATGTATATGTCTTAAGAGGAAATATGAAACAACCACAGACATGTCACAGCACATATACTGCAACATAGACATGCATGCACACGAATGCACTGTGTAATGGGCTGTTCTTTTCCCAGTGTGTCACCCTCCACCTTGTAGATTTATATGGAATGAGCATAATGACTTAGCTCCCAAATTATCCCAGTATGCCTGTGAAAGATCCAGATAATCTTTTAATGGCTCGAGTTGACAACTGTCTCATTGCGCAGCTCATAAATCTGGGAGTAGAGAAAGCGCCCCTCGGCAGCTCTGGGTCCCCTAGACTATTTTGTGGATGAAACTGGATCCCTTCAAAGTGAAATGGGAAACGTGCTGCTATCATGAAGAAGAAGAAGAAGAAGAAGAAGAAGAAGGCGAAGGAGTCTTCACTCTGCCCAAGAGATTCAGTGGACTGGTAGCTAGAGGAAGCCGCTACTATAGAGGTACTGAAAGTGTAGATGGCAGATGTGTCTCTGTTCAGTGTGTGAGATGTTCTGAAAACAAGACAAAGGAAAAAAGGACCATATTTGGAAAAAAGTAATATATTTTGAGCTGCATGTTTATGTCTACCCTCTTCCTCTGTTCTTGTTAGTGTGATGGGAACAGAATCCACTTATGCCCACATTTTCTTACAGTGGAGTGAAGACAATTTTATTTTTATAGCCTCTGAAATCACAAATTTTACCAGCACAACAGCTGATACCACCAACACTATTTGAAGCTTTAAAAAAAAATGCTAATCCCACCAAAACAATATCAAACTGGCACACATGCTACGCCAATAAATACACTGGTGCTTAAAAGAAGAGCTACCACTACAGTTACATTCTCTCCAACAGGGGTTCTGGTGCACATCCCCTGACATGACCCAGTCTTAGAGAGTGGAAGCACAAAGAAGCGGCCTGGCATTCTGGGGTCTCATAAATAAACAAATAAACACATTTCATACACAGAGTACTTATTCTAATTACAGCCTTGGACATGTGCTGAGCAGTCTCTAATTTCTCTCTGAGCAGAGAGACTTGCGGAGCCGTCTGCGGCAGACCAGCAGTCGGCAGATGTAATTACCACATCATCTCTGGTCCCTGGTACACTGAGAGAGAGGGAGGGAGAAAGAGAGATGGAGAGAGGGACAGGGAGAGAGAGATTGATCCTAGTAAACAATAATTAGGGTTGGGGATGGTGTATTGTGGGACATCTACTCGGCGGGACAGAGTAAAGAGAGGGAAAGAAAGGGGAGAGCGGAGACAGGCAGGGATGATGGGTAGATGAAAGTCTCTGGGACAGACAGCCCTCCCCCCCACAGGTTGGAAGTTCACATTTTTATCAGGACCAACATATCAGTGCTCCATGTTGGGCTGCAACTAACTCTATAAGAAACATCTGTGGATAATGTCTTTTATGAATAAACCAATTATCTAGTTATTAAACTGTCTGAAAAAAGAAAGAAATGTTTGCTTTAACTTCTCTGAGGCCAAGATGACTTCTTCATAATGCTTGTTTTGCCCAACCAACAATCCAAACCCAAAATATAAAATATTAATGTAAAACAGAAAAAATAGCATCAAATGATCACATTTGACAACTTTTAATTTTTCTGCAAAATGACTAATTAGTTATTTTTTTTAGAAAATGCCAATGTGCAATGTAATCTGCACCTAATAAAAAATGCTTTTGCACTACATGGATAAACTTAAAGAAGTCTTAGTAGTACAATGTTCCTTTCAGTGTATTAATTAAAGGTACCCCGTGGAGTTTTCTTATAAACAAAGTTTTGTTAACATTCAGTGTTTCTCACCAAAAGGTATTGTGTGTATTACAGAGGTCTAACAAATCTGTTGCATGCATTATCCTATCTCAAAAAAACTCTGCAAGGCTTATGCTTTTGAAAAATTAGATTTTGATTTGTTGTTTGCTAGCCTTTAGTCTTCTTTGTCCCTGCAATTTACTGGCCCAGTGCTACTTTTCTTGGCACATTATCATCACCCACAATCAGTGGAATAGTGTGAAACCGTTGGCAGGAATGTATATCGTGTGATTCGCATCCACAGTGGTGTGCAAACAAAACAGGAACCCACTCATCAAAACATTGCTTTATGGCGCTATTTTCAATCATTACATCTGACTCAAACATGAGAGTCACGCAACTGTGAATACACAAAACAACAGCATCACTCTGTGTTGTTGTTTTTTCATGTAGGAAAACTGCTCTTCAAATGCCTCTGTCGTTTTTTAATCCATCATCAGTGTAATCTTCCCAATCTTGACTTCTTCTAATGGGTAAAAAGGATTTTTAGCTCCAACTTTATGGTCAAAAACTCAACAGGGCAGCTTTAACTTGACTGGGTTGATGGTTGGGTCCAAGGCTGCACTACTGACCAAGCAAATCAGGCACTGCGCTGGACCTCAGACCCTTTCTGTGTGACAATTTGTTTGTAGTAATTTGATCATTTGTAAATGTTTAGTGAAATGTACAGTGGGTACGGAAAGTATTCAGACCCCTTTAAATTTTTCACTCTTTGTTTCATTGCAGCCATTTTCCAAAAATCAAAAAAGTTCATTTTATTTCTCAGTAATGTACACTCAGCACCCCATCTTGACAGAAAAAAACAGAAATGTAGAAATTTTTGCAAATTTATTAAAAAAGAAAAACTGAAATATCACATGGTCATAAGTATTCAGACCCTTTGCCGTGACACTCATATTTAACTCAGGTGCTGTCTATTTCTTCTGATCATCCTTGAGATGGTTCTACACCTTCATTTGAGTCCAGCTGTGTTTGATTATACTGATTGGACTTGATTAGGAAAGCCACACACCTGTCTATATAAGACCTTACAGCTCACAGTGCATGTCAGAGCAAATGAGAATCATGAGGTCAAAGGAACTGCCTGAAGAGCTCAGAGACAGAATTGTGGCAAGGCACAGATCTGGCCAAGGTTACAAAAAAATTTCTGCTGCACTTAAGGTTCCTAAGAGCACAGTGGCCTCCATAATCCTCAAATGGAAGACGTTTGGGACGACCAGAACCCTTCCTAGAGCTGGCCGTCCGGCCAAACTGAGCTATCGGGGAGAAGAGCCTTGGTGAGAGAGGTAAAGAAGAACCCAAAGGTCACTGTGGCTGAGCTCCAGAGATGCAGTCGGGAGATGGGAGAAAGTTGTAGTAAGTCAACCATCACTGCAGCAATCCACCAGTCGGGGCTTTATGGCAGAGTGGCCCGACGGAAGCCTCTCCTCAGTGCAAGACACATGAAAGCCCGCATGGAGTTTGCTAAAAAACACCTGAAGGACTCCAAGATGGTGATAAATAAGATCCTCTGGTCTGATGAGACCAAGATAGAACTTTTTGGCCTTAATTCTAAGCGGTATGTGTGGAGAAAACCAGGCACTGCTCATCACCTGTCCAATACAGTCTCAACAGTGAAGCATGGTGGTGGCAGCATCATGCTGTGGGGGTGTTTTTCAGCTGCAGGGACAGGACGACTGGTTGCAATCGAGGGAAAGATGAATGCGGCCAAGTACAGGGATATCCTGGACGAAAACCTTTTCCAGAGTGCTCTGGACCTCAGACTGGGCCGAAGGTTTACCTTCCAACAAGACAATGACCCTAAGCACACCGCTAAAATAACGAAGGAGTGGCTTCACAACAACTCCGTGGCTGTTCTTGAATGGCCCAGCCAGAGCCCTGACTTAAACCCAATTGAGCATCTCTGGAGAGACCTGAAAATGGCTGTCCACCAACGTTTACCATCCAACCTGACAGAACTGGAGAGGATCTGCAAGGAGGAATGGCAGAGGATACCCAAATCCAGATGTGAAAAACTTGTTGCATCTTTCCCAAAACGACTCATGGCTGTATTAGATCAAAAGGGTGCTTCTACTAAATACTGAGCAAAGGGTCTGAATACTTATGACCATGTGATATTTCAGTTTTTCTTTTTTAATAAATTTGCAAAAATTTCTACATTTCTGTTTTTTTCTGTCAAGATGGGGTGCTGAGTGTACATTACTGAGAAATAAAATGAACTTTTTTGATTTTTGGAAAATGGCTGCAATGAAACAAAGAGTGAAAAATTTAAAGGGGTCTGAATACTTTCCGTACCCACTGTAGTACTGAAGCGCAATATAGGCTGAAATAATAAGGGACTTAATGTGACTGCTGCAGTCCTAAAGAGGGGCCATGTGTCAAAATGAAGCTTTCAATGAAGCTTACATTATGCATATTTCTTAATACATCTGCATTTAATAAAATTACCAGAACGGAATTGACACACAGTAATCCTGGGGCATGTTGTATTCAAGTATAGGAGTACTGGTAGGTAAATGATGGTACTTGATAAGTTCTTAAAGGCAACAAGTGAG